CATCCTCCTCCTCATTCTCGTCCTGCTCCTCCTCCTCCTCCTCCTCCTCCTCCTCCTCCTCCTCCTCGTCCTCCTCCCTCCTCCTCCTCCTCCTCCTCCTCCTCCTCCTCCTCCTCCTAGCGAACAGGGTCGGCAGCACGGGCCGTAAGGCCTTCGCAATAATCGGACGAAGGCCATGATACGACGGGCTCGGGGGTCCCGAAACCGTGTTGTGACGGACCGCGCGGTCTTGGGACCTGTAGGAGTTCCCGGTCGCCGGAGACGCCCTCGGAGCCCGAAACCGTGTGGTGACGGACCGCGCGGCCTTGGGACCCAGGAGGGCCTGGTCGCCGGAGACGTCCTCGGAGAACGACCCGAGTCCAGAAACTGTGCGGTGACCCCGAATCCCCTCTGATTTACCACGCGGTGTGGTCACCACACGGTTTGGGGGCCCCCGAAATTGGCCCAGGACGCGCTCCAGGACTCGCGGAGCATCTGGCGGCCCGCGTCTCTGCAGCCCGTGCCAAACCGCAGGGAATCTTGGAAACCCTGGGAGTCGCTGGAATCTTGGGACGTGGCGTCCTGCCAAAAAACCTCGCGCTCCCGGGGCCAGGACCTGCCAGGGGGGCGTTGGGTGGTGGCCGGGTGCGCGCCGCTGCCCGAGGGCGAAACACCTCCGCAGCCTCCCGGACGGGGGCGACCCGGTCTGAAAAGCCTGCGCCGCTGCGCAGCGCTCTAACCCAAACCGTAGAGCTAACCCGAACTCCAATCCTACCGTCCTAACCCCAACACCCACCCACCCCTAACAGCCGAACCCGAACCCTACCGCTCAACCCGAACCCTAACCCTAACCCTAACCCGACCCCCTAACCCCTACCCTAACACTGTAGCCCTATCACCCTGATCCGAATCCTGCCACCCTACCACCCTAACTCTAACCCCCTAACCCACACCCTTACCATCCCCCCCCCCCCCCCCAAAAAAAACACCATAAGCCTCCCCCCCTAGGCCCCTAACCCGAACCCTAACATCCTAAGCATAACCCTACCACCCTGTCCCTGATCCTCTGACACTATCCTGATCACCCTAACCTGACCCCTACCAACTTAACCCTAACCCTTTTAACCTGAATCCTAACCAGGAACAGCCGAATCCGAACCCCCCTAACCCTAACCCCTACCCGAACGCCCTAATCCTAACCCTAATATCCTAACCCAAACCCCTGACCCTGACCCTAACTCCCGAACCCTACCACCCTAGCCCCCCTAACCCCCCAACCCTAACCCTAATCCTAACCCTAACACCCTAACCCTAATCCTAACCCTACCACCCTAGCCCTAACCCCCGAACCCTAACCCGAACCTGAACGATCTAACCCTGGACCCACCACCCTATCATGAATTAACCCCCTAATCCTAAACCGAACACCTTACCCCTAACCCTAATTCTAACCTTACCACCCTAAACCTTACCCTCACCCCCTAATCCTAATCCCTAACCCTAATCTGAACACCCTAACCCTCACCCCAACATCCAAACCCTGACCCGAATACCCTAACCTGAGCCCCCAGAACCCTACCCCTTATCCTACCCATCTAACCCTAACCCTAATACCCTAGACAAAACCCGAATACACTAGCCAAACACCTAACACCCTCCCCAACCACCCTAAACCTAACCCCCAGACCCTAACCCTAACGCCCCAAACCCTAACACCCTGACCCACCCGAACCCTAACACTCTAATCCTTACTCTGCCACCCGAACCCGAACCCCCTAACCCTACCCGAACCCTGACACCCTAACCCTAACGCCGTAAACCTAACACCCGAAGCCTAGCCGTAGCCCTCTCACCCCAACCCAACCACCCTAACCCAGGAGAGCCCAGAATCGAATCGATAAATCGGATCGGCAATCGACATGAATCGGATCGGCGGAAATCGGCAGCCGAATCGGGAAAAGTCGAATCGGCGGAAATCGGCAGGCTAGTATGCCTCCAATAAAAAGTCGGAATCCAAATCGGAAGCCCAAATCGAATCGAATCGGAATCGGAATCCATCGAAGTCGAATCGAATCGAATCGGAGGAATCGAAACGAGCCCTGCCCTAACCCTTACCCCCACATCATTCGGCGCATCACAAGAAGCTGGAAGCCCTCCCCCCGCCCTCCTTTCCGGCGCAAAGGGGGAGGGGGTGCTCGACCCCCCTTTGAAAATAGGGGGGGGGGGGGTTCTCTCAAATCCTCCCCCCCCTGACTACCTACCAGACCACCCCAACCCAACCCGAAGACCCAAATTTGACCCGAATTTCGGGTTGGGGGGGGGTACGGGTTCCATGTGTTTTTTCAACGTTCTCCGACCCCCCCCCACTGGAAATGGAGGGCAAATTGAGGCCTTCGGGTTGGGTTGGGGTGCTCTGGTAGGTGGTGACCCCCTCTCCGGCGCGAAGGGGGAGAGGGGGGGGGGTCCGAAACCCCCACCCCCCCTTTGAAAGGGGGGGAAGTGGGGGGGGGGGGGTCGAAAACAGCCCCCCCTTGAAGGGGGGAGGGGAGGTGTCCTGTTAGCACACGACCCCTTAACAATTACGGGGGCACCCGGTGACGCGAGTTCCAAATCCTGCCCACCCTGCCCGAATCGGAAGCTTTCGATGCTCGGCGGTCGGCGGCTGGAGGGGCCAGGACGCCGGGTGGGCTCAGAAGGGCAAGCCGAGGGGATCTCACGTTGCCCTTGCGCCCCCGAGCCGCCGGTTGCGCTGCCGAAGCCCAAGCTGGCTCCTGCGAGGGGCCAGGCCTGTCCCACAGCGACCGAAGCCTCCGGCACCCAGCAGCTAGCGGCAGAGAGGGAGGGAACGCCCCCTGAGCCTGGGAGGACGGCGAGGAGTAAGAGAGGGAGGCTCGCCCAAGATGCACCTGCCCCTCCAGCTCGTGGGCGGAGATCATGTAACATATCCGTGTTCAAGGCCTCGCGGGCCAGGCCCCTGGGCCGCGACTCCGCGGATACGCGGCGTGTCTTCGCGGATGCCCCGCGCGGGACGCATCTATGCAACGGAGCATCCGCGAGATCGCAACCCAGAACCAGACCTCGAGAGCATGAGTATGGACATGTCTGCCGCACGTCACCAGCGGCCCCAAACATGCGATGTCCTGATTTGGTTGAAAGCGGGGCCCCCT